TTTTTACAGTGGGTCGCTCCGGTGGCCCTAATGTGACTTCCCGGATCGGATAGGGCTACCCTTATCGGTCTGTGGGGGTTACAAAATATATACGATATTCACACACCATGCATGACACTTGGTGGTATCCACTTCAGTCATCATCATCAATATCACCACTAACTGCCCCAATCATCGTACTTTTGTCTAGGAATTTGTGGTGGTTGTCTATGTTTTTCTCGACTGTGCTACTCGTCCTTGCTTCAACAGCTTTTCCTTTCCCCACATAATGCCGGTGTTCCTGGTCGTATATTCAGCCGAGCATGGCTCTCCTGGGACTTGCCATGCAGCTATAACTCACCATCATCAAAACCCCAAATACCACCATAAGCTTCAGCTTCATGCTGCTCATGTGTTCAGTTCATGCTCCATGCTGCTCGTATATTCATTTTTAAATGAATTGGAGAATGGGGAGTCCACCCAATAAAGAAAGGAAATTGAGTGGAAGATATTTAAATAATTTTAATTAAGAAATTGTTTTTAATACCGCTATGAATCCATACTGATAGATGGGTGAAATTTTGAATATATTAAGAAGCCTTGATGGGGAAGTTCCACTTTTGAAGTGGAAACATAATGGATACAATAAAAGTCGATGAATCAATCATAATTGTCATTCATGTTTTAGTTGCTCTCTGATGTCAAATACTCAAATCATAGATGACAAGGTCTCTTGCAGTTATGAAAAATGCTATAAAAATGTAATATTTTTCGGTTACAATCTAGATCGAAAATGTTACGAAGAAGATAGCATTTTTGGCATAACATTTTTGGTTGCAAACTATTCAACCTAAAAAGTTGTGCTCTTTATAAGATTATCCGTTGCAACCGATTTTTAGTCTTATAATTAACAAGTTGTATTTTAGAATTTCCTTTAAAAATTGGTGTGGTTGGTTTCACCGGTTATTCAATAAATTACTAACTTAAAATGTTGTTTACGCCAATTTAAAATTTATACATTTTGATAATATTTTCGGTTGCAACATAAAATGTTACCTAAGTTTCAAAATTGATTCAAACTTAATATTGAGGATAATGTTCTAGGTTGAAACCATAAATGTTATCCCTTTTACATTATTTGTTATGATTCTGGTAACATTTTCGGTTGCAACCTTAAATGTTACGTACATAGACCAACCTAAAATATTAAATGTTTATAATAACATTTTTTGTTGCAATCTAAAATATTACGTTAGTTTTTAAATTACAGGAAACTTAATTTGAGGGTAAAGTTCTATGTTACAATCGGAAATGTTACTTCTTTTACATAGTTTGTTATGATTTAGCATAACATTTTAGGTTGCAACCTAAAATGTTAATCCAAACAACCTAAAATATTATACGTTTTTTAACATTTCCGGTTACAAATGAAAATGTTAAGTGAATTTCTAAACAGGTTCAAACTCAATTTTATAAATAAAAAGGAGCTAAAATGATAGTTGGACGACTAAATATATAGTTTACCCTAAAAAGAATAATTTCAGCCAACTTATAACATTTTATGTTTTGAGTGCATGTACCCATGCTAGATTAGTTGATGAAGGTTGATCCCCATGGTTAATGGATATGACATTGAGTCACTCAAAACAAGCAGCATACAGTTTGATAGATTCCTCTAATTGGCCACTCCAAATTTAATTCATAGCTGTTTATACACAGAATGCCTTTTACTTATTATTATTATTATTATTTTGCATTATGGCACTTTGCTAGGTTATGTTTATGATGTCCTTATATTTGATAATAACAATACTTTCTCTTTTCTATTATTTTCTTCTTCTTGTCTCTTCTCCCAAACTAGAGAACTTGGAGGAAAGACTTTATTTTCTTCTTCATCGTAATCCCATCCAAAAATCTAAGATAAGATTGATGATCCTTGAATTATGAGCTCTAAGATGAGTTCACCATCTTCTTCAATAGTGGACATAAACTTATTTGAGGTTTTGAGAGGGTTTAAGCTCCAAGAGTTTTCTCCCATGAGTGTCTAGATTTCTTAAAGACTGATTTTTCGTTGGACGAGTTGTAATCATTCTTTTGATGCAAGGAACGTCTTGGAAGCTTTAGTTTTTTGGGAGAGGTGCAAGACTCCCAATGAACAATGTCAAGGAAAAGTTGGTTCTTAAATGAACTATACATGTATTTGGGTTGCTTAGAAGTTAAGGTAACACACTCTAACTCTTTCTTTTTACTTGTATGTCATTTATATGCCATTTGCTTGCTTGTATTAGGTGGTGAAGCATGCTGGGGCTTAAGTGCTTATGGATTTGTTGTTGATGTTTTTGACATTAGAGTGGTGTAAAAATGATGTATTATGACTCCCTAATGACTTCCATAAGCTTTATTAATAAATTTAAACCTTAAAACAAGTGTTTAGGGTGAGTTTGGGGTGTTTCTCGAATGAAACAATGAATTTATTGGTTGTGGTTTAGATACCAAATGAATTGGGCAAAATCTAAACATTTTGCAAGGTAGTATCGATACCTTGTTTTTGGAGTATCGATACTACTCCTTTGATATCGATACCAACCGAGGGCTTGATATCGATACTAGGGTATTTTTTGACACTTTGAAACTTTATTTGGTATCAATACCCCAAGGATGATATCGATATTGGAGGATTGGTATTGATATTGAGAGCATTATAAGAGGATTTCGAGACTATTTTTGGTACCAATACTCAAGGAGAGTGTCGATACTAAAGGCTTGGTATCGATGTTGAGAGCATTATAAGAGGATTTCGAGGCGATTTTATTATGTCAATTTGAGAACTCTTTTATGATACTCGTGAATCGAGAAGAGCAGGATGGACTAAGAGGGGAGTGGGTGGACGTGATCGCACCCCTCTAAAATTTTTAAATTATCTTATATTTTAATTTTTCGTATTTTCTATTAATAATTTATTTTTGTCCTTTTAAAATCTTATAAATTCGTCATTTTTTAAAATTTTATAAATTCATCTATCCAATTTAAAATATTGCGTTTGAACTTGAAAAACAGCACAATACGAAGAGAAAGTGAAATAAAAATAAAGATGGAAAAACAATATTTTTAACTTGTGGAATTAATGGGAAGCATGGGAGAAGCTATGGAAGGTAGTTGAAAGGAAATCAAAAAATGGTTTAAAGTAAATAATAATATATTAAAAGGGGACACAAAGGGAGAAATGTAGGGTGAACATTTGATCCATATCCGATAGATTCTGACTCAATTCAATTTGATAGGATTATTTTTTTTATATAAAAAAATAGGTTTAAATCAGATTAGATCAAGGTTTTTAAGAATCATGTCGAGTCAAGTTGAGATATATGGTAAAAAAATATAATCCAATATAATATTATAATTATCTATTATACATTTAAAGATAATTACAATAATACTCTTTTGTATATTATTTCTCATTATATCCTTATTTTATCAGGTTGGATCAAATTTTAATTTAAAATATTAAATCAAGGTCTAAATCTTGCAGAATCTTCCTAAATTAAAATTGAATTAAATATAGATAAAATAATTATTTTTTGAGCCAACTTCAAATAAACCAAAATCTGACCCGACCTAATCAAGCAGGCCAAGACAGCTAAGAAAACCACAAGGAGCCTGAAAAGGAAAACTACGAGGATCGAGAGAGAAGGGAAGTCCAATCAAATCATTGGACTATTCATTCATAGGAGCATGGCAACAAGTGTGACCGACATACCGGTATAATTCGTTTGCTTTGGTTCTGATTAGGCATTTAAAAACAGATTGGTCTGCTTGAAATTTCATCTTAAATGAATGGCTTATTCATTCACATACCATAATTTTACCTAGGGATATGATATTTATAATATATACAGAGTTTTACTTTAATAATTTTTCAAATATCCACTCCAAATTCCAACGAAAACACTAAAGCTGAGGGGAAATGGAGTCCACAATGCGATTAACTCGAGCTTGTCTGCAAAACCATTGGCAGCTCTACTAGAACGATGTGTACAGTTCAGGGAATTTTTTTATATCTCTTATTGCCTTCAGACAAACGAGTACAGCACATAACGTCTTCAGGGGATGAACCCTTTGCTGGCCTTTTCAATCATCTCTGTGACAGAAACCTAAGAGAGAGTTATCTTCACTTGTCTCTGTCAACGTAACCAATCCATATTTCTCTTTCTTTTGTTTATTAATTTTCTTGCCAAAGTTCATATAAGTTCATCAAATCCATTAAAAAATAAATGCGGGGATGTTTTCAAGCAAAAAGTGTCGATTAAACTATTGGTTTGGTAGGTAAAATATGGAACCAAAGAAATCTTATGGAATGTTTCAGTCTATAGAACCAATTTCCATTCTCTTTGCTTTACCTGTATTTTTTCCCCTCCACTGATCTCTGGCAAAGACCAAGTTGTTTCTCTCCAGCCATTGCTTACATGCATGCACAGACAGAGAAGCAGAGGCAAAAGCTTATCCCGAATCCATCTGCAGAACATAATAGCCCAGAAGAGAGTATAATAGTTTATGTATTATATTTCATACATTACAACAGAGGGTGTTATTAGATGATAAAGGGCTTTCTTGATTATATGAATCAATGAAAAACTCTTTTCACTCTGGGTTTGAGGCAAGCATTATGTATATTTAATATTTGAAGATATCCATTAATGCTACTAACATTTAAATAAATATCAACAAACTGAAAGTGGGGGGATCGCACTTCGCCCAAGAAGCTTATCCCATCCCTCTTTCATATCTTATCTTTTTTCCCCCACTCTTAACTTGTGGGGTCTTAACTTCGAGAACTTCGAAAGATCACCGATCAAGCTCCATCCTTTCTCTCTCTAAGTTCATGTCTGACCTTGCAACCAATAATTTCGTATAGCTTTTTCATATCATGGGATGCATGTTCGTACACTTTCGTATCAAGCCACCCAACTGCTATAAAAAGGAAGGACATATACCATCTCATTATTCATACATCTGAGCGTTACTAAAACTACCACTAATACATAAAAATCTACCATCTCAGTATTCATACATAAAGGCACTGTCTCATATAGTCCTTTCAGTTCCACCCGAATCTCGGTTTCAGATTATATGCAAGTTCTTTTCCTCCCATCTACTGTCTATGTTGGCATATTACTAGACAATGAAGGGGAAATTTGTAAAGGCATGCATTACCAAATGGAGGAAGATGGGGAGAAGTGTCATACCTTGTGGCAGTTGTGAATACTGTTCTGAGTGGGCAAAGTGGCGGAGTTCAATGCATGAAGAGGGCTCAATCCCAAGAGATGTGCCGAAAGGTCACTTAGTAGTATATGTTGGTGAAAACTACAAGAGGTTTGTAATCAAACTCACCTTGCTCAAGCATCCACTGTTCAGGGTGTTGCTAGATCAAGCTCAGGATGAATATGATTTTACCACCGACTCCAAACTCTGCATTCCTTGTGATGAAAGCTTCTTCCTCGATGTTGTACGCTGTGCTAGCTCTCCTCGAGATTGAATACTCTCCCGGTGTCCAATGGAATTTATGCTAGAAGCTTTATTGATTCACGAGGTTTGAGTGTATACTGAGTGGATTTTTGTAACATAAATGCTGTAGCCGATAAACGTAACTCCATTGAAAAGTGTTGACCTCCAGTTTGCACTATTGTAAGTTCTGTTTCTGAAGGCCTCAACCGCTAAGGCATGAGAAAGCTCTTGTGCCTAAATAGAACCAAGTTGAACACACCGTAAATGCCAGCTCTGGCTTTCACCTTTGGAACTTTAAACAATAACATCAACAAATTAACGTATAAAACGTATGTTACTTGGATTCGAGTGTAAGCATCAAATATAAATGTGTCCAACACATGCTTGTTCTTTGGAAGACCCTTATACGCATGTCCAAATATGTTTTTTTAATATTTTGGAATGATACGTCCAAATATGTTTTGGACACAAAAGTCAAACACAAGTGTTTCAAACAAAACAAAAGACTCACAACAATATAGTATATTAGTATTAGACCTGTAAGATTAGAGTAGTTTTATATTACCATAAAAGAAAATTGCCCTGGACAATGGAGATGCAAGTTCCTTGATCTCCTTGACATCATATTTACCTGTAACAGTAAAGCATGCTTCAACTAGCAGATGCACGCAAACAGTAGGTAATTAATGAAGAAGAAACTGACATCCACAGTTTTGCTCAGATTATCGAACTGGGTTCTTGAAAATTTTTAGATTTTGAAAATTTCTCTTTACAAGCAACATCACAGAAAAGTGAAAGAGATGAGCCGAGGCATGATTCTATAAATAGGCAATAAACAAGTTTGGCGCATAACATAACTAGCTCTTGTGCTGCGCCGTGCACATTTTAATACTTTTCAAAAAATTGATTCAGTCACACTGACATAATCTCTAGTAGCACTTGCACATTCCCAGGTCCGTAAGTTTTTCATTCAATCAACATCATGTAATTCAATATCCAACCAAATAATCGTAGCAAAAATAAACGACTAAAAGAAAAACAGAGAAGGCTATCAAGTATCAACTAGCGAACAACAATTCCTCAAGGGGCACTGATACAATTGACATCTTAGAAGTACAGGAACATTTGGGAAATGATGCAAGTTTCAAATATTGAGCTATGAATCATACACCAGTTGACATATAGCTGATTCTTGTATCATATCATATTCTTTGCACATTTGCATCATGTGTCTATAACAAGGAGAATAGGTATAGAAACTCATGACTGAAAAAAGGTTATTTACATCAACTGTCTACTTGCCAAAATGTCCTATTGACATCTTAGAATTACAGGAACAGTTGTAAAATGTCAAATAAAAAACTCACAGCTAAAGCAAGATTATAGCAAGCTTTCATGTGTAAACTCTTATTTTCTTCTCTTCATCAACTAACTAAACATTCATCACCTCTCATAAATAACCTTTTGTAAGTCAGATGATGGTTTCATTCCTACATCTCGTCACTTTTTTCCCATTTGATAATTAAATGGACTGCAAGAGAATATAAGGAAATCAACATCTCAAACAAAACTTCTCCATGAAAAGTGGGGTAAAAACAAGAAAAGGCACCTATTGCAATTACAGAACTTCATTCATCACAATCCATCCATAAAATGAATAGAAAAAGGCCACACAAAGAAAATAGACACAAAAGCTTTGTTGGGGAAAATATAGACACATTACCATTCTCATTGATACCAGCAAGGAACAAGCACTGCAAGGCAATAAAAAACAATTTGTTGCAACATAGACACAGAAGCTTTGTTGTGGGAAATATACACAAGTATTATATAGTGTTCCCTCATGATAAAAGTACATGATATGCATTGTCAGGTTCTTAGACAAAAAATCTAGAAGTATTGCATCACTAGCACTGCAAACTAGGAAGACTCCAAGCCTTTGGAATTGTTGCCACTATCTTGAGCTATCATCAGTGCCACAATAAAAAATCTAGCAGCAAAAGCAACTTCCGCCCATTTTTCCCAATTGAGCTTCATCGAAGTCCATCAAATCAAAGCCTCCAATTCTCTCTTCCCATACCTCCTACCCTCTTCATTAGCTTCCCTACACTTCACCACAAAGTAAAATATCAACCAAGCCACCATGAAATACACCTCCAGAGCTGCCTGAATAACCGTGGCAAAAATTTCTCCACCTATACGAGTCAACACCGATCTTGCTAACCACCCACCTAAGATGTCTTCATAACACTTTATCTGTATCCCTTGGCTCAAAAGGGTTGACATCAAATAACAACCTTCTCTAATAATTTCTCTTCCGCTTCTCCTTGAATCCACCATGGCAATCCAAGCCGCTAATGAGAATGCAAATGAAACTAAAGTATCCACAAGAAACCAAGTAAACAAAAACCCAGAAATCTCCTTCTCATAACCCCTAACCCATGGTGACATTACCGAAAAAGGCATCAACTTTAACCTAACAAAAAGCTTAAAGAACGAGTAGTGATCTTCAATTTCACCGAAATACCATAATCCAAGAAGTTGGGTCACGGCGTCTCTTACCGCCCATTTTATTAAAACAAACCCAGTGACTCTCTTCAATCCCATTTTAGACCCATCCCAGAAAGCCCCAAAAAAGGAAACAAATCTTCCAATCAGGTCATTAACAATTGTGATAAAAAGAACACCAAAAACTAAAGAATACATCGCCGTAAACCCTATAATTACCCATCCATATGCCGCCGAAAGAAAGCTAACAACAAAGAACAGCGCAGCTGCATCATGGCGACCCAATTCAAATCCTTTATAAACGAACTGAAAATCCACAACCCTTTCTTCATGCTGTCGCCCTTCATATTTTTCGTAGTCAAATGAAATCGTCTTGAATTTGACTCCTGACCGAACAATTTTCGGCAGCAGAATCCCGTTATCCGCAACGAAATTGGAATACCCTAATTTAGTATCGAAGTTTGAAAGAATCATCGGCGTGATATTGAGGGGGCGACTATAGAAAGATCTAAACGGAGAGCGGTGGCGGAGGTCATCTTCAGAAGACAATAAGTCGTCGTCAAGAGTGGCGGCGCGCGTGAGGCGTAGGAAAGGACGGCGAGTGTGGCGACGCGTGGATTGGAAACCCGGGTGCGAGTGGGAAGGGTGGAGGTCGAGACGAGTAAGGAGGGATTTGAAAGAAGGATCGCGGTCTATAAAGGAATTGAGGACAAAGGAACCGGATTCAACTAAAGAACGGAAAGAGAGGAGGAGGAGAGAAAGGAAGATGAACAGAAAAGGGTGGGCGGTGAAATGCACCGCAGACTTTTTAAGGATCTCGGATGTGGACCGTAGTTGGCCGAATCGGAGGCGGTGGTGGTGGTCAGTCATGGCAGTTTTCTCTCTGGGGTTTAAATTTCAGGGAAGTGAAACATAGATGGGCGTGAATGAGAGAGTAAAGGCCAAAGCGATTGTTTCTCTGCTTTTTTTTTTTGGTAAATTACAAATTTAAAAAATAAATTATATTCTCTCTTTTATTTTATTATTTTTTATTTTTTAATTTACTCACTAAACTTTATTTATTATTATTTTTATCAATTTACGATAATATGAATTATTTTATTATTATTATTATATGATATAACAACTTTTATTATTATTTTAATGTCATATAATATTATAATAAAAAAAATTTAAAATATCAAACCATAATCCTCAAATCATAAATCAAACTATAGTCCTCAAATCATAAACCAAACCATAAATCCTAAATTACAACCCCACCCGCCCATGTTTCAATATTTACAAATGCAAGTAGATAATGGCCTTGCTCTGTTTCCCCCTCCAATTTCGCACATTCTTTTTACAAACTCTAGCTGCATGCTCTATTTTTCCGGCAGTGACTGGCAACTGCAACAAGCTGTCGGGGGTGAGGTGCGGTGGGATTGTAATATGGGATTTATGGTTTGAAATATGATTTGGGGGATTAGATTTTGGTTTTAAATTTTAAGGTATACCTTAATATTTTTAAATTATTTTTTATTATAATATGGTGTAACATTAAATATTAATAATCATAGCAAGTGACAAAAAAATTAAATGTAAGAAATTTAGTAAGTAAATTGAAAAATAAATAAAAATACAGTGGATAAATAGAAAGAGAAAATAGTTTAGTGATTAAATTTATAATTTATGCTTTTCTAATTTATTTATGGCTTACTTCAATAGTAAGTCCTTCAACTATACCTTTTTCTTTATTTAGATACCTAAGCATTTTTCTGTTTTGAACCAAATACTTAAATTAAATGCATAATGATAAAAAAATGCTCTTAATATTTGATTAAATAATTATTTTAGTCTCTATCTTTTAGAATATTTTATTTTAGGATAAAACAACCTCTAGTTGAATGAAAATCATTAGTTGACTAACTATTGATATTTGTTGCTTATGCGACAAGTCCTATTTATCTAAAGCGATGATGTGATTATTAAATAAGTGATGATGTGATTATTAGATAAGTGATGATATGACATATGTAATATGTACATAAGTGATGATATATCACATACTACGAGTATATTAGTGATGATATGACATGTGTTACATGTATATAAGTGATGACATGACATATATTATATGTATATAAGTAATAACGTAATACATGTCATGTCATCACTTAGACACATAAGACTTGCCACATCAATGACAAACATTAATCATAGTCAAATAATAATTTACATCCTAACTAGAAGATATTTTCCTCCAAAATAAAATCATGACGGTCAAAGTGCTTCAAAAATAAATAAATAAAGTGATTATTTGTCGAAAATTATGATGAATTTTTATATATTATGCCTAAATTAAACCATTTTGATCTGAGAAACAAAAATTGATTAATTAAAAAAAATTTAATAGTAGGTTTGGATAATTTATAATTCATAAATTTAAAAGTTATAATTATTTGTGTCAACACACCTTTTCGTTCGGGTACAATACTATCAATAACCCTGATTTAGTAGGATTCAAAAAATAAACATAGCGTTAGAGTTTTACTAGGATTCAAACTCCTAAAAATATGATAGAGTT